AAACATACCCCTCTCCCCCTCCACGCACGCGTGCACTTATCCCAGGCACGCACGCACACGCACACACACTAGGACAAGCTCGATGCGTGCGCTCATCCCGCGCACTCCCACTGGCACACACTCCACACGCACACTCACAAACTCCACGCACGCACCCGTAGAGGTACACATGCTCCAAGGACACGCTTCTACACGCTCCGCGCGCGCGCACACTGCCCACACACTCGCACCTCCCCGGCACACAAACGCCAATCACACACACGGGTACATACTCCATGCGCACACATTCTGCGGGCACACTCGTCCTACGCGCGCGCACACTTCCATCCACCCACATACATACTCCGCGCCCTCCCAACACACAGCCCACGCACACTCCCGCACAAACCGCACGCACACATACTCCGAACACACTTTTCACACGCGCGCGCGCACACCAGGCTCCAATCACAACACACCGGTGCACACTCCACGCGCACACGCGTTCTGCGCTCATCCCACGCGCACGCACTCGCACAACCTCCACACGCCACCGCCCCCCAAACACACTCCCGCACAAACTCTACGCACACATACATTTGCACACACTTTCCACACACATACCCCACGCACGTACCTTGCGACAATCCCCACGCACACACCCTCGCACAAACTCCAGGCACACAGACACACTCGCAGGCACTCTCCACACACCCCCAGCATCTTTTACCACCTAGGCCCACAGTCAGTGCACAGAGGACACGCGCACCTCTCCCTCCACAGCAGTGCAGGCTTCACCCCTGCTGTTTAACCACACACGCTTCTCACGCGTACCCGCGCCACGGCCGCCTCCGCCCCTTCCCCTCCCCCTCCCTGCCGTACGTGTGCATATCTTCTGCCCCTTGAACGCGCCGCCACCCCCTCCCCTCGTGGACGCACTTGCACACTTCGCGCACGCTCATTCCTACGCGCGCTTGCTTCTCCCTTAAGCCCACCGGCTCACAACACACAATACACTCCCCTCCCTTTCTTCTCACTCACCCGCTCCGACACACTCACACTTGTACGTACGCACACCTTTCCCCTCAGGCGCTGCTCACACACTTTGCACACGTACGCACGCGCACATCCTCCTCTTTGAACCCATACACGTCCCTATGAAATTCAACGCACATGCTTCGGACACGTATCTACCCACAAACATGTTCCTACACACACACACACACACGAAATTCTGCCTTCACCACGTTAGCCTAATACACATAAACAAGACACAAGCACCCGCGGCCCCCGACATACTGACACCACCGGATTTCATGTGGGCACAATTAATTGTCTGTGCTCTCTTAAGGGGTTGGTAACGAAGTTTACGCCGGTAGAGGGGGTATAGCTCAGTGGTAGAGCATTTGACTGCAGATCAAGAGGTCCCTGGTTCAAATCCGGGTGCCCCCTTCTAAAATCGTCTTTTCCTCCACCCTCCGTTTAAAATGCTATTTATGACTGTCGCATCGACAGGGCAAAATAAAGCACAATTTTGTTTCTAATGCAAAAAATGTTTAACATCAGCGAGTCAGTAAGGGCTGTGGAGATGCATGTTCAGTTCTCCTTTATGTCCAGTAGAGGGAATATGTTTCAGTAAGGGATATTTTGCCTTACAGTCTTGTGTCTTTGGGTGATATATTGAGCCTGTATTTTAGAATAACAGTTATTACAATAAATAAATATAGACAATTTAGTGCCATAAATTTTCATCGCATTTTGCATGCACAGCATAATGCAGATTATACTTATATTATTTGTGTCTCTGGAGGCCAGTATCTTGCATTTACCAGACAACTGACTAAATTGCCCAATAATACATCTTGCATCCATAGATGCTTCTCAGGCAAATCCCAGGACATCATTCTCTCCTTGTACTTGGCCTTGGTGAGGCCACAGCTGGAGTACTGCGCCCAGTTTTGGGCTTCACAATTCAAGAAGGATGTGGAGAAGCTTGAGAGAGTCCAGGGAAGAGCCACACGCATGATCAGAGGTCAGGAAAACACCTTGCAACCACAGGCTGAGAGCCATGGGGCTCTTTAGCCTGGAAAAGTGCAGGCTCAGGGGTGGTCTGGTGGCTGCCTGTAAGTTTATCGGGGTGCTCACCAGTATCTGGGGGAATGTTTATTCACCAGAGCGCCCCGAGGGATGACAAGATTAAACGGTCACAAACTCCTCCAGGACCATTTCAGACTGGACTTAAGGAAGAACTTCTTTACTGTCCGAGCCCCCAAGGTTTGGAACAGACTGCCACCGGCGGTGGTTCAATTACCTACTTTGAACGCCTTCAAGAGACATTTGGATGCTTATCTTGCTGGGATCCTATGATCCCTGCTGACTTCCTGCCCCTGGGGCAGGGGGCTGGACTCGAATATCTGCCGAGGTCCCTTCCAGCCCTAATGTCTATGAAATCTATGAAATAAGCTCGCTTGGCAGTAGAGCGGGAGGCCTTGATTCTAAGTTGGCCCTGTTATTTTCAGTAAGCCAGAGCTGAGCAGTTTCAAGGTGGAAAATATAGATACAAAAAAGTAGCATTTTGGATAATACTGGGAAATGATCCAACAAGAATAGACCCAAAATCAAAACCACGTGTGTGAACCTGGTAAAATTTACAGTATTTGGATAATTCAGGACCCAGAACTTTTGGTTTTCTAATTACCAACTGATGTGCCAACTAATCAATATTTTGCCAAGTAATAACCCCAATTAATTTAAAATACAGTTCCCTTTTAGCATGATCTCATTATAACAGCACTAACTTAGCCTAACAGCATAAACTTGTATATGTTAAGGGGAAGTACCTTGGCATCAGACATGCATGCATACAGTGACACAGAAGCTAGAATCAAAATTGGTCAATTATGTGCCATAATGCCTTGCTAATAGTTGAAGGAGAGAGAGTCTCTTTCCGAGTCCTTTTCAGCCTGGGTTTTTGAAGCAAGTTCCCTATTTTTCCTGTGAAAATCTGCATGCTTGTGATAAGCAGATACTGACAACTGTTAAGTCCTAGTTAGTTGTAAATTTGTTATAGTTTGACACTTGCTTGCTACCTTTTATACATCTGTTTTCCCCATCCACTCTCTTATTTCTATCAACCCTCCTTTGCCTAAGTGCAGCCAAGACTTTTGTGTACACATGCACCTGATGATGACACAGCAATGAAAGCATCATTTATGATGCATGTCTCATGCAATCTTACTCAAAATGTTCATAGTTTGTTTTTTGCTTCTTCTTAAGCACAAGGGGTGTAGCAGTGGGGAAAGGAAATGAAAGCACTGCAAGAATGATATTGTGTACAAACGTGTCTATCCCAGGATTTAGCATTAAATTAATAAATAAGGTTCTGTATTGGTGAAGGGGTCTGTTAGCACTGGAGAGTTAAGATCCGTGATTAACTACAGAACCCATCTATCATTGTCATTCCTCTACTGAAAAAAGCTTATGAATCTCTGGTATCAGTTACTTTATAGCAGGAGAGCTCAACCCTCAGCCCATGGACCAGTTCCAGCCTGTGGATCCATGTCATCCAGCCCACAGGGTTCCCTGCAGTCTTGAAATTAGGGTGCAGGGGAAGTGGTGGCAGCTAATTGCTGCTCCCCTGCTGCCAAATTTTTGGACCTATGGAATTCTCTGCAGCGCAGATACCATAGCCCTGTGCAGGATGGATAGATCGGGCATGTGGGGCTGAGTGGGGCACAGGGCTGGGCAGAGGCCCAGTCCAAGTGCATGGATCCTTATCTGGCCCACGGATCTGCCTAGAACCACTCCTCCTGCCCATGGGGCAAAAAGTTTGAGTGCCACTGGTCTATAAAGTACAACTCTATCCAGCCTTCTGCTCTACCAATGTGCCATGTTCCATAACCTGTATTAGCAATGTCTTTATAAGGATACCCAGTTACAATGGTGTCAGTATATACACTAATATCTAAGGTGTGTCCACTTAGGATGAAATTTATCAGCATGTAAAACAAGGCTCCAGAGAGGCACCAGGGAACTTTCAATCTTTAGGCAAATGTGCTCCCATGACTTCATAAGGCATATAGCTACAGGGAGAATGGAGTTACTCAAAACAGGATGTGTATGTAGTCTTTCCTCTTTGACAAGACTGTCAATTTTGTTAGGGATAACTCATCCATTAGGTTTTGGCCTGCAACACTTTTAAGCATTTGAGGGTATGTACACATTAAATTTCTTTAATAATTCAGATACACAAAGCTCTTGGGTCAGAGGTGATATCTTTTATTAAAGCAACTAAACAGTAGCAAAAAAGAATCTTTTCTTTGCAAGCTTTCAGGCACATACACCCTTCTTCAGGCTGTGGAGAATTCAAAGATTGTAAAAGTCCTCATAGATAGAAAAGAAACTTCATTTTGCACAGGGGAGGTACAGGGTGAAAGTTTATTCCCTTGGGTATCTCAGAGTCCTTTGGTGAGAGTGATGCTCTCTGATGTGGAGTTTCAGCTGTTTTCTTCCCTGGAGGTGTCCAATGTCAGA